GGGAGAGCTCTGCCACGCACACCGAGAACTCAGCTTCATTGACAAAAAGATCCCCATTCTCCACCTCACTGTATCTCTGTGGCTCTCTCCTCTGCAGTTCCGGCTGTTAACATATGCCTTCATGGAAACATCTCTCAGTAAATAACCTTACACTTAGTCCTGGAAATTCAAAAGCAGAGATGGTGACTTGTGTGTGTGGGATGGGGAAGGCGGGCAGTGAACAACTTCAAAACTGTCAGCTCTCATCTATCAGAGGAAAGGAAGAGAGGACCCTTGGTGACACCTGCCCCGGCTGCCTTGTGCTGGGTGCCCCTATATTCACGAGACCATGGGAAGAGGCAGGGCTCTTCCCCGGTTTACAGAAGAAGAAACTGAGGCTCAAGGACCTGTCCAAAGTCCCACTGTGAGGAGACGAGGCCACGGAGACTTGAGCCGAGGGCTCTTGACTCCCAGTCTGGGGTCCTATCCCAGCCCCACACTTTCTCTGCGGAGTCCTCAGTAGTCGGACGCCTCACCTGGCCTCCCCAGCGATGCCTGTATATATAATAGGCACAGATTTCTCATCAAAGGAGGATGTTCTGAACTGGCATTTCAATGGCGCCGCATGGCAGTCTTAGTGCTGCCATCTTCTGTTCTTCCATCCACTTGCCAACTTTTCAGTGCTAAGTATTTTTCTGACTTAATTTTCACCCATCATTTAATTTTCTGACCTTTGCCAAAGGCAAAGAGAGGTTTGAATGCAGGAGATCTGTTGGAGCTCAGCAGGGGTTTGAGAGAAAACTGTTTGGAAATGTGGTTACTGATGGGAGCTAATGTGTCCTGGGTATCGTGGGGAAAGCAGGGTGCAGGAGACATGTGGAGTTCTGTTGTGTGTATGTTTTTTGTAACAGTAGGAGATACTAAACACTTGTATGCCATTTCATACCTATTCCATGAGTTTAGAAAGCATGCCATACCTAAAAGCCTTCAAGGAAAGATTTCCCAGATTTGCCTTATAAATTGTAAAGGAGCTCTGGCCAGTGTGGCTCAGTTGGCTGAGCGGCATCCCATGCACTGAAGGGTCTCGGTTCGGTCAGGGCACATGCGGGAGGCAACTGATTAATAGTTCTCGATCACATCAATGTTTCTTTTTCTCTCTTTGCCTCTCCCTTCCCCTCTCTCTAAAATCAATTTTTAACCACCTTTAGAAAAAATATTAAAAGGGGAAATTTCTTCTACATCATAAAAAATACTAAGGTAGTTGAAAAATGGGCAAAGAACACCAAAAGGTAACATAGAAGAAAACCAAATTATCAGTAAAGATGTTTTTTGAAGGGTATAACACCTTGACAAAGAAGAAGTATAAATTTTTATATTTTTAACCTGGCTGACTAGCAAAGATTAAAAACAGTCTGAGGGGCACAGAGACAAGTCAGCCTGCGCCTCCCTACCCTGGAGTTCACTCTGGCTGGAGAAGAAGACGAGAGCTACAGTGTGTGGTCGCTGAACCACCCAAACCTGGGTTCAGATGCTGGATATGCCCCTCACCAGCCATGTGACTTCAGGGGTGTCACCCGTCGTCCCACGGTGCACCCGGAGGACGGGTGTGTAAATACACGGATGGGGGCAGGGTGAACACTCACTCCATGCTGGCTGGGGGGGGTGGGGGGGGGCGGTGTTTTATTGTTGCTACCACTCCAGTCAGGGCTCTCTTAGAGCTAGGGATTCATCACCTGGGTTCGGAGGTCTATTTACCTTCTGAAATTATAAGCAAAGTTGTGTGAGTCTGTGGATTTTTCTAAATACAGATCTAGAGCTTTCCCCAAATTTTAAAAGAGACCAGTGGCCCCAAAACATTTAAAGAGAGCTCTTTGTAGAAATGCCAAAGGTAAAGCTAAAACCATGACGGCACCTACAAAAGTAGCTCAGGCTGGGAGCCACGAGGCTGGCCGGCCCTTCCCCCGAGCGCTGCGCAGGAGCCCTGCAGGGAGAGCCGGTGCTGGTCTCAGGGGCGTTGCTGAGGCTCTGCTGGTCTCCCGGCACCAGCATCCCCACCAACGGCCTCCCCTGTGCTTCGGACTCGGAAAAGAGCTGGAGCCTCCACGCCCACAGCAGCTCTGCTCCAGCTGTCGGGGACAGACTCCCATTCTCTGCCCTGGTCCCTGGGGCTGTGGGCTGAACACAACCAAAACCTTTTTCTCCTTCATGAATGCTCTTTCTGGGTCTGGCCTCCCCTTCCCAGGCGAGGGAGGCACAAGGCGAAGAAGGGAGCAGCCGCTTGTGCCACATCTGCTACCAGGCGGTGTGGAGGGTACTGCCCACCCCTGAGAGGGGAGAGGGGGTTGGTGAACAGGTAAATGAGTGGGAAGCCTGTCCCTGAAGCATGACGGGAGGAGCCTCCTGGGTAACTGTCGGCCTTAAGCACCCACACCGACCTTCCTTCTGGGGGCTGTCTGGGCACTGGGGACAGAGGGGGGGTGTGAGCCAGGCCAGCCCCGCCTTCCCATCAGGTTTCCAGGGAGGCTGCCCTAACCCAACAGCAGGGGCTCAGGAAAAGCCCCCTGAGATGTGCCACGAAGACCGAAAACCCCCAACTTTTCCTGTTCTGCCATCACGTGCAAACTCATCACGCCCAACCACCATCCAGGAAGGAGTCTGAGAAGTTTGATGCCCCCAGGCGAGCTGAGCACCCAGCCCCCAGAGGCACCCG